TCTTTGCAGCTACCAATGATGTATGCAATGTTAGTATTTGTTTGTAAAAACAAGATAGTCTCACATCGGATATTTGAGCACTTTTTTAGAGGTTTAAAACCATTTAATGATTGTTGGGTTTTGATAAATGGGTCAAAGTATAGGCTTCTAAATCCGCGTGCGAATAGCGCGAATAATGCGCCATTTTGACACGATTATTTTTTTATTATATATTTTGACCCACTTAAATATTCTAACTTTTGAGTATATATATTTTTGAGTACATTATTTTTTATTATTACTGTTATTTTAGATTTTCGAATTTATCAAAATATGAACAGACAAGAGCCTGTTGAAAAATGTCTGTTTTTTCCAAGGCGTTTTTTAAAAAGTTACGACCGTTGGAAGCACCTTTTCAAACCTATATATATTTTATGATTTCAAATATCCAGACTTTACTTCTTTCTCAAAACTTTGCTCTCAAAAAGATCTGCAACACTACAAACTTGTTTCACAAAGAGTTGGTGAAAATTTCCAGATTTGCTCACCATCCTCGCTGAGCCTACTGCCATCAAGCATCTGCACAAATTTGGATCATCGATCCGAATTCTCGGCTCTCTGCTCACCATGAGTTCGTTGGGGGTGTTATGTTAAATGTAGTAGTTAGAGTATCATATGCATGCTTTTCTTTATTTTACTCCCACATCACTCAAGATTCTAGAGCCTCTCCCATTGCTCTTATATTTAAACACTTCAACACGCGATGAATAAAATAGTCTCTTTCCTTTCTAAAAGCTTTATTCTTATCATTTTTCATGATACATTAAATTTTATAGAGAATTCTGTGCTAATCCTAATTGTAGATACACCTATTTGTTGTCAAATCTCTAATTCCTACATCTATATTTACAAGAATTTTAGATATGCTTCTAGAGTTATAGATTAACTTCTAACAATGATTGGATTATCTCTGTATCTTGTGAACGTGAAGTACATGGGGCCCACCAATGTGACCTCAAAACTCTTCGCGTGAAGAGAGTTCACGAGCCCACAAATGACCGCTTTTTCGTTGCAAACATAAATGAAAATAACCCACCCGAAGTCGCATCAGAACTTTATAAATACCCTTCTAGGGTTTCATGAAGGATTGTGCAAGAGCAGGCTTTGGAGAAATCGCAAGGAGTCTTTTCTTTTGGTGGCTGCGTGTGCAGGGGTGCAAAGAGTTTATTTTTCGGCAGAGGGCTTCGGAAGAAATAAAAGGACAGTCAATAAAAGGATAGTCTTGGGCGGTGTGCAAGCAAAATAGAAGTGGGAAAAGCAAATTTCTTTTTTTGGCTGTTTTGAAGAGGAGTTTTGTGCAGCTGTTTTAGGGTTTTGTGCATCCCTTTTAAGAGAGATAATTGTGTGAGAGGTTTGAGAGTTTGTGTGAGGGTTTAGATTAAGTAATTGTAAACCCTAGTTGTGTTCTCTCCCTCTAATAGTAGTTCTCCCCCTCATTGCCCCGTGGACGTAGGCAGTTTGCCGAACCACGTAAAATTGGTTTGTTTGTGTTTGTGGCCATTGTAATAGTTTTTTAGGATCCATTGACAAGTCAGTCCTAGAACTGATGAGAGGAAGAACCGATATCTCACCTTGTTGAGATATTCGCTTCAGATTCTTGTTTCCTTGGTGAGACGATGAGAGGAAGAACCGATATCTCACCTTGTTGAGATATTCGCTTCAGATTCTTGTTTCCTTGGTGAGACGAGAATTCTTATTGATCTTTCTCTCTTTTCAGATTCTTGTTTCCTTGGTGAGACGAGAATTCTTATTGATCTTTCTCTCTTATTATGCACCAGAAATTCTGCCAAAATTTTCGCTACGCACAACAAGTGGTATCAGAGCCTAGGTTCCAGATCTAGGGTTTGGTTGGAGGAGTAGATCAATTGGAGGCTCGCCTAGGACTTCGTTTGGTGATAAAGGTGAGATCTTTTGGTAAAGACTCTATCTTTTTAATTTTGGATCTATTCTTCGTTCGTTGGTACGTTGAGAAAGAATGTCGGGAAAAGAAGGTGTTTTGGGTGTCGAGGGTGGTGCTTCTGACGCGAAGACCATTCAGAGTTTGAATATCCACTCTATTAAGATACATGTGGAGAAATTTAATGGCACAAATAACTTTGGATTATGGAGATGCGAGGTTTTGGATGCGCTGAACGCGTAAAATTTAGAGGATACATTAGAGTTAGATGGCAAGCCAGATGAGATTAAAGAGAAGGTTTGGAAGAAGTTGAATCAAACGACGTGTGGTGTGATTAGATCTTGTTTGACTCAAAATCTAAAATATGATGTGATGAATGAGATTTCTGTAAAAAAGATTTGAGAGATTCTCGAAATCAAGTATCTGACAAAGAGTGTTGAGAATCGCTTGCATTTGAAGAGGAGACTTTATCGTTTCCAGTTGAAGAAGGAAACCTCAATTAGAGATCACATGAATCACTACACGAAGCTTCTTGCGGATTTGACGAATGTAGATGTCAAGATTGAAGATGAGGACAAGGCGTTACTATTGTTGAGTTCCTTGCCCGATGAGGAATATGAGACCTTCGTCCTTACTCTGATTAATGAGAAGGCATCTTTTTCGTATAGTGAGGTCACTGCTGCACTGGTGAATTATCAGCTTCGGAAGAACGATAAGGAGACTTCAACTGAGTCGGTAGCAGAGACGTTGGCCGCAAGAGGCAAGGGTCCAAACCGAAAGAATTGGAAGTCACAGTCTAGAGTAGGACATCCTACAATTGGAAAAAATCAGTGTGCTTGGTGCAAAGAGACTGATCATTGGAAGAAAGACTGCCCAAAGCTTGACGAATGGATGAAGAATAAGCAGAAGGAAAAAGGGAAGCAACCATCATCAGAAGCAAACATCGTATCAGATGGTAATATTTCCGACTCTTCTATTTATTCGTTTTCTATCAGTCCTACATGTAGCTATTCGGAGGAATCTGGGTGGATGTTGGATAGTGGTACGACCTATCGTGCCCTAGAAGCGAATGGTTCTCTAGTTTTGAGAAGCTGGATAGTGGTGTGGTGTACATGACTGATAACCGTGCATGCTAGATCCTTAGGATAGGAAGAATTCGTATCAAAATGTTTGACGAGACTGTTAGGGAGTTAAATGATGTGAGATATGTTCCTTCTTTGAGGAAAAACTTGATCTCGATTGGAGCTTTGGTTGGAGAGGGTTTGAATGTTCGAATTGAGGATATAGTTTTCAAGATTGTGGAAGACTCTCGAATTGTGATGAAGGGCGTCAGGAGGAATAACCTGTATTACTTGACTGGAGGTATAGTGGCAGATAAAGAACTGGCGACTTCTATTGATTCGACTAGACTGCGGTATTTGGGGCTTGGCCATTCCAGTATTGATTCCTCACATAGATTGAAAGAGGGTACAAAGACCTGTAGTTTAAAGTCCAGTGAGCATATTAATGTGAGCAAGAAGACCAATGTAAAATTTGGCACCTCCATTCACCGTACTAAGGGTTGTTCTGGAGGAGTTCACATGGATGTTTGGGGGCCTTCCAAGGGGCCAAATTGGTTTCCTTTGTTAGTGGCTGTTCTAGGCGTGTTTGGGTTGCAACCAAATCACCATTGGAGAAAGTCTTAGTAGTCTCCAACAGATTGAAGAAGTGTGTAATAGACAGAAAGGTGAAGGTCTTCATTCTGATTTTGGTGGGAGGTACAAGATGAACATGTTTCTGTATTGGAGCCGAGCTCACGATATTTTAAAACACTTTGTTGGAAAGGAAATCTTGGGGCAACGAGATAGGGTGGCAAATTTGGAGAGCCGTGCCTTGCTGGAGGAGGATCGGTGTTTGTTGTCGAGCAATGATTTACAGAAGAGTTTCCAGACTGAGGCTTCAACATATTTGGGTCATCCTATTAAACAGTTGTCAACTACTGCGATTGGAGGTAAAACTCCATTGAATGTTTGGTCTGGTAGTGTCACTTTGGTTGAGGCTTCGATGAGGGAGCTATTTGACTCTCAGCAGGTGGAGAGTTTTGGACAAACCTTAGAGGTATCACAGCGGGTGGAGAGTGGTGCTACTCTATATTGGGTGAAGATTACTCCAGATCATACTACATCATTTGAGATTCTAGCTGAGGTGACACAGCTTCGGGATCAATTGGTTTTTGATGCAGATGATGAGTTAGATTTTGATTCGAATACAGCTGGTAGATATAGTTTGGATATGGTCATTGGTTCACCTCAGGTGGAGGTGTTTGAGGCTATTGGAGGTGCTATCAGCCGCAGAGTTGATGATATTAGAGAAGGGTTGCGAACTCTTCTATTGGATTGAGGTCGTTCGCGGCCATTTGGGTGAACTACGTTCGGCTTGATTCATTGGGCAAGAGGATACGTAGGCAGTCTTTACGATACAGCCGATTTGGATTTTGATGGGGTGAGATCGATTTGGTGAGTTGATACCGACATTTGGAGAGTGTTCGCATTCTCATTTGGGTTCTCGACTTGTAGTGGATTGAGTCTGTTGTCGTGAATTGTTTCACTTCGTACTGGACGCAATAAGTGAGACATTTGGTTTGGTTGGTGTCGGCTCAGTTTTGGGAAAACTTCATCGAGGTGGAGAATTGTGAACGTGAAGTACATGGGGCCCACCCACGTGACCTCAAAAATATCCGCGTGAAGAGAGTTCACGAGCCCACAAATGACCGCTTTTTTGTTGCAAACATAAATGAAAATAGCCCACCCGAAGTCGCATCAGAACTTTATAGATGCCCTTCTAGGGTTTCGTGAAGGATTGTGCAAGAGCAGGCTTTGGAGAAAAATCGTAGGGAGTCTTTTCTTTTGGTGGTTGCGTGTGCAGGGGTCCAAGGAGTTTATTTTTCGGCAAAGGGCTTCGGAAGAAATAAAAGGACAGTCTTGGGCGGCGTGCAAGCAAAACAGAAGGGGGAAAAGCAAATTTCTTTTTTCGGCTGTTTTGAAGAGGAGTTTTGTGCATCCCTTTTAAGAGAGATAATTGTGTGAGAGGTTTGAGAGTTTGTGTGAGGGTTTAGATTGAGTGATTGTAAACCCTAGTTGTGTTCTCTCCCTCTAATAGTAGTTCTCCCCCTCCTTGCCCCGTGGACGTAGGCAGTTTGCCGAACCACGTAAAATTGGTTTGTTTGTGTTTGTGGTCATTGTAATACTTTTTTAGGATCTCTCGACAAGTCAATCCTAGAACTGATGAGAGGAAGAGCCGATATCTCACCTTGTTGAGATATTCGTTTCAGATTCTTGTTTCCTTGGTGAGACGATAATTCTTATTGATCTTTCTCTCTTATTGTGCACCAGAAATTCTGTCGAAATTTCCGCTGCGCACAACATATCTGCTTAATTATATCTTTAATTTCTAGTGGTGGTGGAAGACTTGAATTGGGAATCAGCGTTATGCCCCAAATGCTTAAAAATGTTCAGAAAATAAAACTAAATGGGTGATGCTAAACCCTTCCATAAATTTAGAGAGAATCTAAACAAATTTCTAGTCAACAAGATTGATCAATTCAGAGGTGGAAGCGAAAAAGAGCGAGGAGGAGGCTCCTCCATACCCGCACGTGACGAGCACCAAGTGTTTTAGGTATGCCTCTTCCTTTTCGCACTGCAGGTGTATGTACCTTTTTTGTGGTTTGCAATCATTGATTGACTAATCCCTGGAGATGTCAACATTACCACCGTCAGTCTTCAGTGAGAGCTAGGTTTCAACTGTCCTGATCGAGGGCTATCAGCAAACTTAACTCAGTAGCGCACAATTATCCGTTATCCGATCGAGTTAAAATGCATCTGCAGTTTTAGATAGATAGATAGATAGATATATAGATAGATATAAGCTTTTAACTTTCCTTACGATTCCTTATTTATCGGAAATTTAGAGAATCATGTTGCAAACATCGATCACTTGTTCCATGGCAATATATCATCTTCTCTTGATCTATCCGGCTCTTCGCAAACCAGGAGTAATATTCCCTTCATCAGTTAGTTCTCGCGCATGCAGGAGAAAATGACGGACAACCTTCGAGGTCGGAGGGTGCCCCGACCAAATTAATTGTGCACCTTGAAAAAGTTAAAAAAAAAAAAAAAGAAGCTTGATATATATATATATATATACCATTTCAGAAGTTGCATGACCTCATTCATTCTCGCTCCATAATTACAACACATGACCAGCTCAACCTAATCGCACCTAACTCGACCTCATCCGCACCAACCCCATCCATCTAACCCCAACCAACTTGTCTAACCAAAGCTCCGTTAGATTTTGGTCTCCTCAGGACCTAAATTAATTCAGCTACAGCTAGCTCAGACCCAAGCCTGACCTCGATATATACGTAGGTCTAATTAGTATAAATTCAATCGAGATACTATATATATATATATATATATATCATAGTTCGTTTGATATTATAATTTGCATTCTTGTTGAGACTACCACCACTGTTTATTAATTATTACTATATATATATAATATATGGAGATGCCTCGTCGCTGTCTGCCTGCGAGTGAAGTGGAGAGGCCAACTAGTGAATGAGCACGATCGAGCAAAGTTGTTAGATTGTGCATTTAATTTGTGACGAAATGATCATGTACTCAAACCCCGGCCTCTACATATATGCGAGGTTTTTTTTTTTAAATTTTAAGGAGCAAAGTGGATGCTTATGCGCTTACAACTTTACTATAATTGAAAAAAAAAATATGAAGTTTCGATATGGATGAAAGAAGAACTCAACCATTTCTTTAATTAAAGGCATGGTTACATTACGGAATCAAACTTACTTACGAAGGTAGAGAGAAGGGAATTGCAAGAATTGAAAATTTGAATAGCAGAGCTAGCTACCGTCTATGATTAGTATGTTTCAAATTATATAGCTCGTTACTGAAAAATAAATGTTTCCGTTTCTATTTAATTTTAGGCACATCACAGTCTTTCGGCTATTTGGTGGGGAAAAAAAAAGAAAAAAAAGAAAAAAGAAAAGTTGCCCTGCTGCACATCATCACAAATGAATTAGGTGCTATCTTTGCGAATTCGTTGGCTGTGACGTTCCTCATATCACTGAAGACAGAGAGGTTAGTACGTAGTGATCGTCATCGTCACTTAATTATCCTTGTTAACCTAACTGGTCACCATCCTTTTGCATATGTACGACTAACATAAATCATATCCTACGTTTCTTTTCCTTCCATGAGCAGCGAATATGATGAAGAAAATCATCTAAATAATTCGTGAACAACGAACACGCACACCTTCGATCAGAAGCTTCGATGAAGCTTTCAAGATCGAAACCTCAACTGTATGTTGTTTAGATCCCTATTCCTATATGCACGATGACCTTATATGAACCGGGTGTCAGATGAAATCTCAGACAAAGAACATTTTAAGAGAAGGGAGCTAATTGCTTAGTTATAAGCCATCAAAAGGCTAATTAATTAAGAGACTTATTCCAACCTCACTAGCTAGAGATTTCAAACCTCCACATCCTCATGCATCAATCAAAACAGAGACGCTGATGCATCATCTCCCAGTACTTGTGAGTTGTTCCCTGCCCTCCCGTAGTACTTCTTAGGTGACTTAACGGAGCCCGACGTTGACGATGTAGGATCGGTGGACCTCCTCCTCAGCATCTGTCTCATGCCATCAGCAACTCGAACTGCGGGGTTCGATTTAAACTTGCTGCAGAACGACATGTGAGCCTTCATGGCCTCGTCCACTCCTCCGTTCTCCTTCTTCTTCCCTTCGTCCCTCACCGCTTCTGTGCAGAGACCGCAGAGCCACTTGCCATCAAAGTCGGCCTTCACCTTTGTTATGTAATCCTTTGTGCAGTCCTCTTTCAGTCCGCAGCACTCGCACTTGGCTGATTCTATCTCCATTGGTCATGTGAATTATTGATGAAGGAGATATTGGTGGTGGATTTTGGATTGGTGATGAGTGTTGTGGTTTGATATGATGTGTGAAGGAGGAGGATTTTATGTCATGTGTTGTGTTGTGTTGTGAAAAGAGGGGCTTTTTGTTAAGGCGGAAAAAACCCCATGTTTTAAGGAGCAACGGGGTTAGGAAATGGGACGGTGTTAGTTGGGGGCCTCATGGTTGGCCTTTTCGCTTTCTTGCACCTCAAAAGTATGTGTGAGTGAGTGAGTGAGTGAGTGTGAATGAGCGAGACCCCCGCGCGTGTGCGCGTGTGCGTTTGCGTGTGTTTACAAGTGTCCTATATTTTGTTGTCATAGTGAGTGAGTTGCTTAAATATTAATTTATTGGTGTTTGACAAATAGGCTCCTTGGCTTGAAGGGTATTTTGTTTTAGAGACAGGTGGCGTCGATCTGCTGCAATATTCATTATCTAGATATGACAAATTTTCTAATGTACGTCAGTATGAGAACTAACAAGGTAGAAGTAAGTGCAAGGTAATATGCTTCAAATAGATTCCTCAGTTAACTTTGGAGAATATTTGATCTGCACTACTTGTTCCCATTTTGCTTATTTATTTACTTCCCGGAAAAAAAAACTTATTTACAATTTTAACTTTTCAAAAAGCAATAAATTTTTTTATGCATCCTTCAAAATGTGTTAGAATTGCGTTAGTGTTCATAAAATTTGGGCATACATGAATCCAAGTAGTTTATAGCTAGGACCTTGGAATTTCATCTCATAGAAGGTTCTGAACAGCCTTGGGATAATAATCATGGAAGTGAATACGTTGGCTAACTCCATCCAGCCCAGGGTAATTAGTAGACGATGAGAGGTGTGCATGATTATAAAGCTACAAAAGTGTG